GGCTTCTCATTGCAGTGGCTTCTCTTGTTGTGGAGCACGGGCTCCGGTAGTTGTGGCTCGCGGGCTTTAGAGCACAGGCTCAGTAGTTGTGGCACGTGGGCTTAGTTGCTCCGCAGCATGTGGGATCTTCCCGGACAAGGGCTCGAACCCGTGTTGCCTGCATTGGCAGGCGGATTCTTAACTGCTGCGCCACCAGGGAAGCCCCCGGGAATTTAATGATTTTTGACTTTGAGTTAGCGATTTAATATACACCATTACCAGGTTACTTAACAATGTGAAAGTTAACAAAAACTTGGCTCATCAGTGTTTAGGGTAAAACCACTGCTGCATTTGTCTTACTCTAAGATCTACTCTATTTATTCCATTGCTCTATAGTCTAAGAAAAAAACATTCCCACCTCCAACATAAAAGTTAACAAGAAAACTGGACTTAAAATATTGCTTTTTTAGGGACTTCCCTGAGGCATCAGGGTAAGGGTGCTTCAGGAATTGACAAAGTAATAGGTTAGGAGACTGGAGCTGGGGCAGAGAATAGAAATCCAGTTCAACAGAAGGAAAACATAAGAACAGAAAAGATTCTGCCTCCTCTTGGACAAAATATTCCACATAATCCAGGGACCAATGGACAGGAACTGGAAAGCCATGTTATAATGCACTTAAGTTATCAATTTTTCATCTGCATTGGCAGTAACTTTAACTGCTACAATTATAAACAACCTTTTACAAAAATTATTTTGGCAATAAATTTTGATTGTCAAGATTTAAATCCTAGTCAGAGACTTGCTTTTTAAAGATTATTCCATTGCAGACAAGCACCCATCTGTTTTGCATTTTAGTACTAACTTTTTTAGCCTCACACTCATTTCACTAAGAACTTTCTGGGGGGTGGTGATAGTAGTGATTATTATTACTTTGACAAAAGTACAGTATACACTAGGACAGCTGTAATTTATTTCAATATCTCTTTGCAAAGAAATTAATCAGCACAATTCCCTCAGTCTTCAAAGCAACTGTAAAGAAAGTACCATTTTTTTCTCCCAACTATTGCTGTATGCTTTTATTTGGTTACAATTTTCTCACTATCTATCTCTTTATCATCGGCAACCTGACTTCTGGTCTCACTATTTCACCAAACTTGCTCTCCTTAAAGCTTTCTTCGGATCCTTCTAGAACTCATCACTTCCTCTGACATTTATGACCACACTCTCATACTTGAATGGCACTGAAAGCTCATATTCCATGGCAACATTCGCTCATAGTCTAATGAGAGAAAAAGGCACCCACTAAAAACAAAGACCAGGAGTGGAAAATACATATGAATGAGCTTAGTTTCAAGTGCTCAGAAGCAGAGCTGAGTCACAGCAGGTACTCAGTTGAGAAGAATTTTTATTTTAAACTGAAAAGCCTTAGAAGTTATTTAAGCCAATGCCCTCATTTTACAGCTGAAGTACGGAAAGTGTGTCAGTTAGGATGACTTTGGTTGCAAGCAGTAGACAAGAGCAAGTCAATTTGACTTAATAAGGAAACATACTCTCCTATATAATACGAGGTCCAGACACCTCACTGCAACCCAATGCTGCTCTTGCCCGTAGCACCCTTGGCCACACCACCTGCAGTGTGTTACCTTCAACTTCCGGTTGCGAGCAACAAGGTCTGTCGCAGTTTCAGGATATACATCAGAGTCCTGGGAGTTGGGGGAGAAGTGTAAGAGGAAAGGGAAAGTGTGTCTCTTCCTTGAATCTCTTCTCAAAAGCAAAGAAACTTGACCAAGAAACCCTAAGAAGACTTTTCTTTTGCCTCCCCATTTCTAAAGCAACCATTGGCAAGGAAAATGAGATTCCAAGACTGGTTTGCTTTAAGCCTTGGACTAAGCTTGGGGTAGAAAGAATGCTGAGGAGTCAAGGTTAAATAAATTGGCCATAATCAAAATATTACTTGTAGGACTTCCCTGGTGGCACAGTGGTTAGGAATCCGCCTGTCAGTGCAGGAGACATGGGTTCGAGCCCTGGCCCGGGAAGATCCCACATGCCACGGAGCAATAAGCCCATGTGCCACAACTACTGAGCCTGTGCTCTAGAGCCCACAAGCTACAACTACTGAGCCCGTGTGCCACAACTACTGAAGCCCGTGCACCTAGAGCCCATGCTCCGCAACAAGAGAAGCCACCACAATGAGAAGCCCGCACACCGCAAGGAAAAGTAGCCCCCGCTCACCACAACTAGAGAAAGCCCGCACGCAGCAACTAAGACCCGACACAGGGCTTCCCTGGTGGCGCAGTGGTTGAGAGTCCGCCTGCCAAAGCAGGGG